TGAATTGTGATACTGAAGGATTCTATGGGGAAAACACTGACACAGAAAACATCAAATCAAGATTGAAGGGCAACAGAAGAATGGATAAAAAGATTTTTAAAAACCCACAAAACTATGTTACATACACACAGTGGAAACTGCACTACATAATAATAAAGAGTAACAAAGGATTTGTGAAACACCTCATAACACAGATTAACTGAGAGGATAATATTATTAGTGAAATAAGTCCATCATAAAAGGAAAACTATTTCATGAGACCATTATTTTAAAAAGTGAATAAAAGGTTTTCACACAGAAAGAACTATTCTTTGATAGTTATCAGGGACAGAAAGGGGAGGGAGGGTAGAGAGTGCACACATATTAACTTGGGGGAAGGGAAAGGGGAAAGTAATATACAATAAGAGTGAGGTTAGCAAAAAAATGATGCAGGCAAAGGAAGACAAGACTTAAAGGCAACTGAGGTTAAATACCATTATATACATAATCTTGCAATAACAATAATCTACAAATGGATGCAAAGAAAGGCAGGTAAGAAAGAGAGTGGGACCATATCCACAAGTATATATATCAATTTGATAGAGGAGATTTTTGCACATGTATTTGCCTATGCTTGTAGGACTCGTATATCCATGAATACAGTACAGCACACAGGGTGTAAAGGTATGAAAACGTCTCAGCCATACACAAACACCTTCAGGGAATGAATCACTGGACCTGGGGGATCAAGATCATATTCTTGGCATATATCAAGGTCAACTGAAATCCACAAAGATAATGTTCTACATACTACTTTGGTGAGCAGCTACCTAAGGTGCAACTATTGGTCTCTCCCTGTCCAGGGCAAAATTGACTGAAGAAATCTGAAGGCATGTGGAAATACTTTGTTCAGTGGACTAATGGAACACACGAACATCAGGCTCCATGACCCTGAAAACCAGAAGTCGATGGTGCTCAGCTACCACTACCAACTGCTCTGAAAAGGATCACATTAGAAGACTAGGTAGAGTGGGAGATGAATATAGAACAAAACTTAAAATCAAACCCAGCAATGATTGTGATGTGATGCAGGATGAGAAAGTGTTACATTCTGTATACTGAGTGTTATTCTGTCACTGAGAGTCAGAACCATCTTGAATGCACCTAATAACAACGCCATATATAAACAGAAACTATACTAACCTTTAAAGACTCTTTGTGCATGTGCTAAGCCTTGGTCTTCCATTAGATATGGTAAGAAACTGATATATTTATCTCACTGAATTTGTAAAATGTGGGTGCAAATCTTCTTACTCTTCACTGCCTACTCTTTGTGAGGCAAATACCAACTGCCATTCTGTTTACAGGTTCGCAATGACAACTGTATAGACGACAAGCTCCTGCAGTAGCAACTGGCACCCTTACAAGTAATGCAAGCTTCATTTTATTACTAGAGAAAGCAGTCTGGGAAATGTGCCAGAAGTGGAAGGAAGAGAAAACCTGCTCAAGTCAGAGCCATGTAGGTACTTTCCCTTCTAAGAATCCAAATCCACTCCTCAGCAGTGCAGATCCCCGGAGGGAAGAAGGCACGCTACTTGATGCCCACGTCCTGATAAGAACAAGAGCAGGGTTATCACGCCACAGCTGTCCCCTTGACCCAGTACTTCAGATTACATTGGAGTCCTGGTGTGGATCTTTGGGATAAACACTGGACCACGAGGTCAGCTTGAGCCACAAGGTAGGTGGTTCAAACTCACCAGCCGCTCCCTAGAAACCCTATACAGGGCTGACTATGAATCAGAACCAACTTAATGCACTTAACAACAACGTTTTTATGTCAGAGACTCTTCAGAAAATATATCACAAATCAAGATACATCAACCTGTTCTTAGCACCAAGATTTGTGAGTTATCAGTTAGCCTCTACCATTATCAGAAAAAAAGCAACTTGAAAGGTAAACGCTCTCTAGTGTACTACAGGGGACCCTACTTGCAGCTTGCCGTACAACATGCCTAACTGTTTGCTACTTCTAAATGGACAAAAATACTTTCAGACAATTGCCACTGGTTTTGACCATGGCACAGATTTTTATTCTTCCTCTCAACTGAATACAGCTACAACAACTACAGCTCCTTGAGATGTGCAGTGGCGGTGAGAGTGTTTATTCACACTGGAGAGGAAGCATACTGGACACATTCAATCCACACAGCAGATACTCAACCATGAGTAGAAACAAAGGACTTACCGCCACGAACAGCATGCAGTACATGGAGAATGACGAGTGGCCCGAATAGAAAGACAACCTAGAGAGGAGAAACAAAAAGGAAGAGCAATGTTCATTTTCTTTCCTAGAAGCCAAGAATAGTCTTGATTTTATCAAGCTCTTTAGCCCCTCTATGCACACAGTTACCTCCCCCATCTTTAGATACTGGTGAGGGGAGGAGAGAAAGTAGTTAGAACAAGGAAAGATTAAGGAGTCCAAGGAGTGTCTGAGGTCAGCTGTCTACACAGTATCTTTTTGTTGAAGTTTTTAGGCTAGGTTATGAATCACTGGGAATACACTTGCCAAGCAAAAGATGTGAAAGGAATAAATACTTGACAAGTTATAACTGGCACAAATGCCCTTGCTTTATTACAAATAAATTCATGTTCACATGATTTAAGTTTTATTTTCCATTTGCAGGGTTTGCCACTGGATAATAATAGTAAGTACCACCATTAGAATACTCAAAAATGTATTGTATTTTCCATCCATGGTTTTAGTGTCAATTAAATGAGTATGCTTCTTGTCTCAAACTTCCCACAAGATCAGTGCTTTTGTCTGACATGCATTTTAAATTGTATACTGACAATCACTTTATCTGACAAAGCATCTTTCAATATAAGTCTATAAACCATCTCCCCATCTACAGATGGTGATGCTTGGAAAGCATATTTTACAGTACTTTAGCAAAACAAAAATAGAGGTCACAAACATTCATGATCTAAATTCTTACAAAGAATTAGCCATTGATGCAGAAGAAGCAAGCAAATTGGTAAGAGTACAAGCACGCCACGATGTATAATGCAAATAATCAATGTTTCTCCTGACAGCTCTCCCTAAATAAAAAATAACAAGAGGGACAAGCTTGTAGGTGCATTACTTACTACACTGAATCTTCTTCAGAAAGAATTTAAGGCAGATATTAGTTCCTTAGATCCCCTTAGAGGAACTGAAAAAATAGATTCAAAAAGGAGAAAAATACTCCTAGAAACACATATCAGAAAGTTGTTACGTGTATGTTTGGCAACTGGGCAAGGTGGGGAGAATGGAAATTTCTTAAGCATATACTGAAGATGACTCTACCAGGAATTCTGATTGTCTCATTTGTAATTGGCTGCAATCCTAAGAAAAGAATCACCATTAGCTTTACCAAAAAACATGTTGTTGTTGTTAAGTGCCTTCGAGTCGTTTCCGACCCATAGCGACCCTGTACAGGGTTTCCGAGGGTGTAAATCCTTACGGGAGTAGAAAGCCTCATCTTTCTCCCGCGGAGCGGCTGGTAGTTTTGAACCACTGACCTTAAGGTTCGCAGCCCAATTCGTAACCACTACGCTACCAGAGCTCCACCAAAAACATACTGGCTAAAAAAGAGTACATCAATAGAAATACTTCATTTTAAACCAGATAACTAGAGCAGAGTTCTTTCTTCAATACGTTATACTAAAGATGACCACAGAAGATAATAAAAGTCCATTTTGAGGATTTGTCAAAACTCATTGGGGCAGCATAGCCACGATCACAGAATGGAGCAGGTGTCATAACAACAGACTACGTACCATGTCACAAAAAGCTAAACCCTAAACAGCGTATGTACCATGTCTCCAAATGGAGCAGGCTTCATAACAACAGCCTATGTACCATGTCACAAAAAGCTAAACCCTAAACAAATGCACTAGTTTTGACAGCTCTGCTTCGGACATACAGGGACTGCATGGCTCCTACAGAGTCGCTATGATTTGGAATCTACTTGGGGACACACAACAACATGCTTCTTCTTATCTATGTAGTACTGAAAGAGAGAAAAACAAGGAACATGCACTTAAATACTGCTAGAGGTATTTTCTCTGGGTAGTAAGATTAAGGGTGATAATCACTTATTATACGGACTTTCCCTCAATTTAAGTTTTCTACTGCAAATATCCATCACTTGTCTATCAATTTACATACTATAGTGGTTTAGGTGTTGCTGCAATTCAAAATACCAGTTACACCACTGGTATTTTGAATAATAGCAGGGATACCCATGGTGGACAGATTTCATTGGAGGTTCCAGACTAAATGAGACTAGGAAGAAGGAGAAGAGGTGATGTAGTTCTGAATGTTAAGCCAATAAAAATCTTGTGACTAGCAACGGGACATTGTTAAATATAGTGCCAGAAGATAAAGACATGATGAATGACACCAGAACATTGCCAGATATTCTGGTGCCAGAAGTTGAGACCCTCATATTGGAAGGCAATCAAAATGCGATTGGGGCAGAACTGTCTACTCAAAATAGAGTTGACCATGATAACATGAATGGAGTAAAGTTTTCAGGACTTTCATTTGTTGATGGGGCACAATTCAAAATGAAAATAAATAGCTGCAAACATCTCTAAGTAGTCGGAACATGGAATGCACAAAGAATAAAGCTAGGAAAGTTGGAAGCTTCAAAAATGAAATGGAATGCAAAAAAGATGGATATGCTAAGCATTAATGAGCTGAAATGGACAAGTATTGGCCATTTGAAATCTGACTGTCATACAGTTTACTATGCCAGGCAAATTCAAGAGCAATGGTGCAGTACTCACCATCATACAAAAACCATTTCAAGATTTATCTTGAAGAACAATGCTGTCTGTTACAGGATAATGTCAACAAGGAAGACCAGTTAATACATTATTCATATTTACACACCCACCACTAAAGTCAATGATAATGAAATTGAAGAATTCTACCAACTTATTCAGATTTAAATTGATAAATGATATAATCATGATGTATTGACAGTTACATGTTTGGAATACCAAAGTTGAAAACAAAAAGGAAGGATCAGCAGTTGGAAAATATGGTCTTGGTGATAGAAATGATAGAAGAGATCACATGATAGAATTCTGCATGACCAATGACTTGCAAATACCTTTTGAAAACAACATCAAAGTTGTTTATACACCAAATGTAATACACAGGAAATCAAACTGACTACATCTGTGGGAAGAGACAGTGGAAAACCTCAATATCATCAGTCAAAACAGGACCAGGGATTGACTGGAATAGACCAACTGCTCATATATAAGTTCAGGATGAAGCAAAAGAAAATTAAAACAAGTTCATAACTAACAAAATATGACCTTGAACATATCGCATGTGAATTAAGAGACCATCTCAAGCCTTTTAACAAAGATGGCGCCAAAAGAGAAGAAGGAAGCCCCTGCCCCTTCCAAAGCTAAAGCCAAAGCAAAGGCATTGAGGCCAAAAGGCAGGCTGAGAGGTGTCCACAGCTACACAAAAAAGAAGATCTGCATGTCACCCACCTTCCAGGCCCAAGACTCAGAGGCTCCAATGGCACGCCCAAATATCCTCAGGAAGAGCACCCCCAGGAGAAACAAGCTGGGCCACCTCTGACTACTACTGAGTCAGTCATGAAGAAGATTGACGATGATAACACACTTGTGTTCATTGTGGAGGTCAAGGCCAACAAAGCACCAGATCAAACAGGCTGTGAAGAAACTCTATGACACTGACATAGCCAAGGTCAGCCCCTTAATCAGGTCTGATGGAGAAAAGGCATATGTTCAACTGGCTCCTGATTACGATACTTAGGATGTTGCCAACAAAATTGGCAGCTGAGTCCAGCTGGCTAATTCTAAATATAAATTTATAAAAGAGAGCAACCATCTCAAGAACCAATTTAATGCATTAGACACTACTGACAGACGACCAGAAGAGCTGTGGGATGACATCAAGAACATCATACAGGAAGAGAGCAAAAGGTCATTGAGAAGACTTAAGAAAGAAAAGACCAAAACAGATGTCAGAAGAGATGCTGAAACTTAGTCTTCAGAATAGAGAAGCTAAAGCAAATGAAAGAAATCAGCAAGCAAAAGAGCTGAATGGAATATTTCAAAGAGCAGCTAAAGAAGACTAACTCCAGTGTTACAATGAAATGTGAAAAGAACTGGAGCTAGAACACCAAAAGGGAAGAACACACATAGTGTATCTTGAGCTGGAAGAAGAACCGAAGAAAAAAATTAAAGCCTCAACTTGCAATATTGAAGGATTCTACGGGCAAAACACTGAACGATGCAGAAAACATCAAAAGAAGATGGAAGGCAAACAAAAAGTCACCTTATCAAAAATAAACGGTCGAGCACACCAATGTTCATAGCAGCACTATTTACAATA